ACAGGCAGATCTCTTGAGTTTGAGGCCAGCCTGGTCTACAAAGCAGAGTTCGAAAGAATAGCCAGAGCTGACACACAAAGAAACTGTCTCAAAAACCCAAAAACAATAACAAAAACAAAAAAACCCTCAAAATGCTTGGAACTAAATGACAATGAAAAACAACACACACATACACACACACACACAAAAAAAACCCTCTGGGACACATTGGAAAGCCCTACAGAGGAAATTTATAGCACTTTAAGTGCATAAATTGAAAAATCAGAGAGGGTGCAAATAAATGACTTAATGATGCAACTTTTCAAAATTTGGAAAAAAAAACACCCAATCCCAAGAAATACTAAAAATCAGAATAGGTTATCAAGGAAATAGAAACAAAGAAAACAACACAAATATCCAACCAATCTAATTGCCGGTTCTTTTGGAAGATACACAGATTGACAGACACTTAGGTAATTAACCAAATGAGAGAAAGAGAGGATCCAAATGAACAAAATCAGAAGTCAACAGGAAAACATTACAACAGACAGCAAATAAATTCAGAATATTACAATGGGATATTTTAAAAAACTATAATCCACTAATCTGGAAACCTCAAAGAAATGGATGAAATTTCTAGATTCAGACAAACCACCAAAATTAAATCAAGAGGAAGTCAACAACACCAACACACCCATAACAAATGAGGAGACTGAAATATTAACAAAACGCCTTCCAGCTTAAAAAAAAAAAAGTCCCGGGCCACATGGCTTCAGAGAAAAATCTTGCCAGACATTCAAAGATCTATAACCAGTCCTTCTTAAACTGTTGGGAGCACCTCGGGTACCTTGATTTTTTTGGAGCCAAACCTGTACTTTCTAAAGTCTAAGGATTTACATAATTGGCCTTTAACCCCAACAAAGGAGTCTTCTGGGGGTACTCAGGAGAGAAACCACACAGGTAGAACATAGGAACACCATGACCCAGAAAGCTTGTCCAAACTCAGCCAACCCTAGCCATCACTTAGGCCATGACTGTTAGTCCACCCACTCCTGCCAATATCCTGCTCTATGTGCTTAAACAATACCCCCCTACGTGCACACCTGATATGCAAAGCAACCCTCTCACCCCCTCAACCCCCTCCAATTCTTCTGCTCTACCAAGTATATTAACTGTCCTGAGAAAGATAAAAATTGCCACTTGATCAGATACTTGTCTGGTGGCCTTTCTTTCGTGTCTCTTGTCCCCATCCCTGGTCCTTAGGTCTCTTGCTCCAGGTTGACGTCCTGTGGGTGGGGACATTAAACTATTAAAAAAACCCAAAACAAAACAAATGAAACAAACAAAAAAGTACAGAAATGGAAGGTGTACTCCCAAACTCCTTCTACGAAGCCAATATCACTTTCATACCAAACCCAGGTAAAACCACAAGAACAACAACAAAAAAGAAACTACCAGCCAATAGCCCTGATGAATGTGGACTCGAAGTGCACAATAAAATGTGTGCAAACAATACATTAAAAGGATGACTAGTGGTGGGAGGTGGGGGAGGAAGAACAAAAAAAGATCACCCACCGTGAGCAGGTTAGTTTCATCTCTGAAATGCAGGAATGGTCCCATGTGCAAATCAAATCAATACATGTAAACCCCAAAAAGAGACTTAAGGACAAAAATCACATGATCATTTCAGTAGGTGCAGGAAAAGCCTCTGACAAAAATCCAACACTCACGCAGGACAAAAACCCTAGAGAATGTAGGGTTAGAGGAAACACACATTCACACAAGAAAAGCTATCCATGAGAAACTCACAGCCAACATCCTCCCGAATGTAAAAGAGCTTGAAGCAATCACACTGAAATCAGGGATGAGACGGGGATGCCCACTATCCTCACTCCTTTTCAATAGCATGCTTGAAGCACTGCTGAATTAGTAAGGCAAGAGAAGGAAATTAAAAGGATACAAATAAGGAAAGAAGTCCAGATGTCCTTATTTACAGATGGCATAATACTCTACATTAAAGATCCCCAAAATTCTACCAGAGAACTTTGAGAACAATAAACACATTTAGCAAGGTGGTAGAACACAGTCAACCTGCACAAATCAGTAGGTTTTTCTATACTCCAGCAACAAATGTACAGAGAAAAAGATCGTGGACACACTCCTAATTACAGTAACCTCAAAGAAAATAAAACGCCTAGGAGTAAACCTAACCACAGAAGTAAAGGATGATAACTTTAATATCATCCACAACTGATAATTTTGAACCTCTGAAGGAAGTGTTAAAGACACTAGAAAAAGGAAAGACATTCCATGCTCATATATTGGTACAATTGACACTTGGAAAATGACCATTCTACCAAAAGTTAATTTACAGATTCAGTGCAGTCTCCATCAAAATTCCCATCTGGATTGGCCTGGACCAGCATCCTTTAGTAACAGATCCTGAGAGGTAGGACCAGGTCAGAAGGTAAGGAGATAGAAAAGCTTGGCATCTGGAGGCCGTGTACAAACTGTCTTGTGCCAAGCATGTTCATTGAAACGTGGTACTTCCAGGGGGTGGGAAATGGGACAAAGTCAGCAGGCGCTCCCATGTAGTGGGGTCGTCAGCTGGAGGTTAAATAGACCATGTTGCACAAAAGGGAACAGGGAGCGCTACAGACTGAGGCACATGGCGGCCTCGGTTCTGATAATTCCAGTCTCTTCATGGGGGACAAAAATCCATGCTACTAGGAACTGAGACCTTAACTCCTTCAAGGCCCTGGCTTCAGCCCATGAGACTGTCCTTTCCAAGTCTGCTCCCGGGCAAGGACACAGAAGCAGACTCCCTTCTTCCTGTCAGCAGGCCCTCTGAGAAAACCTTGGATTAGTTCAGCTCTCAACATCATTCTTCAATTAAATAGAAAAAAAAAAACTATCCTAAAATTCGTATGAAACCACAAAGGTTCCCAGATAATCCAAACAACCTTGAACGAAAGAGCAACACTTGTGGAATAACAATTTCAGATCCTCTCAGCTCTATCTCAGAGCCTTAGTAGTGAAAGCAATACGGTACCAGCACAAAAACAGACATGTAGACCTGTAGCACAAATTCTAGTTGGTCTTAATAATAAAAACCCAGACACAGATATCAGGGTTCAAGCTGAAGATAAGAAAAGGAAAGTGATCAAGCCACTAGAGAGTTCTTACCTCTACCAAGGCAAAGACCAAAGTAGGGGGTGGGTCCTGTAGTGCTCTCTTCCAAACCTCAGACTGCACTGAAACTGCACTGAACTCCTTCCTGCTTTATATTCCTTGAGTGCCGGGATTAAAGGCATTGTTATCCCAAGTGCTGGTATTAAAGGTGTGAGCTCTGTTTTTCTTTAGAGTGATTGACTCTCATGTAGATCAGGGTGGCCTTTAACTCACAGAGATCCATCTGCCTCGGTCTCGGGAGTTCTGGGATTAAAGGTGTGGCCACCATTGCTCGTCCTCTCTGGCCAGCTAGGGTGAAGTCCATTTTGGTGTTAAAATCAGAGTCAAGGGTTTGAAGCCGTTGTCCTGCGGGAGCTGGACCAATGTCAGTGTTGAGCTTGAGTCCTCCATTTTAAGCCATCCAAGTCCCAGGTCTAGGGAATGACCCTGGTCTTATGGGGTTTCCCACTTCAGGTAACCTAATTAGATAATTCCATTTCTAATCACTCACAAATGCACCAGAGGTTTGCCTCCCAGGATTACAGATCCTGTCTACTTTATTACATCAGCATTCACAGTTTGCTTAACCTATGGTATGCATCCCATAGGCTGAATAAAATCCACCCTTTCCACACAGCAGCATTTACACACACAAAGATTTGATTTAATTTAATTTATGCACACAAAGATTCAACCCAGAATTTTGAGATCAATTTCAAGCATTTCCTGAATAGAACTGCCACTGTTTAGGTTCTGAGTTTTTGTTTTGAAATTAATGAAAATGCGATTTACATATTTCTCATTTGAGGCAAAGTCTTTTTTTGTTGTTGTCGTTGTTGTTTTCGAGACAGGGTTTCTCTGTATTGTTTTGGAGCCTGGCCTGGAACTTGCTCTGTACAGATCAGGCTGGGCTCAAACTCACCTACCTCTGCCTCCCGAGTGCTGGGATTAAAGTTGTGTGCCACTACCGCCCGGCGAGGCAAAGTCTTAGGGTTTAAGAATAATTTAAATTTCCAGGCAATAGTGGCACCCACCTTTAATCCCAGCACTTGGGAGGCAGAGGCAGGTGGATCTCCGCAAGTTTGAGTTCAGCCTGGTCTACAGAGCGAGTTAAAGAAAAGCGGAGCTACACAGAGAAACCCAACCCAACCCAACCAAACCAAACCCAAAGCAAAACAAACAAACAAAAACCCAAAACCATCCAACCAAACCCCACCAAAAACACCAAGGCTGTGGAATCGCCCAGGGCCAAACGCAAAGCCTGGAATTTCAAAACCAGTGGCTCATGGCAGAACATGCCCTTATCGCAGCAGTCAGAAAACTGAGGCAGGCAAAGCACATAAATTCAAGACAGGCATTATTAAGACTGTCCCAGGAATGGAAGAGCTACAGGAAGAAGGGTGGTGAGAGGGGAGGGGAGAAGGGAAAGAGAGGGGAGCGAATGAGCTGCAGAAACTGGACTCCATGGGTGTTTTTTGTTTTTTTCAAAGGAGGGAACAACCTGCTATCGATTTGTCAGGGGGTGGTTCTGGATGGAATTTGGGGGGTGGTGGCATTTAGGATCAAGATGCAATATGTAAAGTTCTCAAAAAAAGAGATTATAAAGATCAAATAGTGAAACAGAAACCCAGCGGGATCAAGGAGAACCAGGAAATCCAATTGATCCAGTAGCGACACCCATCCTGGTAGGAGGAGCCTAGCGGTCCGGAAGCCGCCTAGATAGCAGATCAGACGTGATTGGATGAGGGATTTCCGCCCCTGCCCTGTATATACATATATAGGCTTCAGCAGGAGCTTGCTCCTTCATACCCACTCAGGCAGGCGAGTCGTTCACTACTGCGCAGAGAAGCATGCGCCTGAAAGCTCCAAAAGAAAGCTATTTCCTGCTAGGGCACTTTGAAGCCAAGAAACTGATGGTTTTGCCCAACGGGGACATCCAGCTATCCTGCTACTCGAGCCCCCAGAAACGTGTCCCGCGCTCCCAGTTGCTTGTCCTGATGCCTTTCCCGAGGCCCACCTCCGCGTGGCAAGGCTGCTGCCCTGTGCCTCCCTGGGAGGGCCTGCACTGGCGACCCCAGCAGGATGGGAGGAGGCAGCTGTGCCCCAAGACGTTGGCGTGGCTGTCGTCACTGCCGTGCTGGTGGGATCCACAGAAGGAGGAGAAAAGCAGAGGCACCCACATGGCCAGCCCCAGCCTGGCCAACAGCACCCCAGCTGCCACCAAGCAGACCTTGGGCGGTGGCGGCCCGGCCACCGAGGCTCAGCCACCACCACGCAGCAGCAGCAGCAGCTTCACCTACATTGTCAGCCCGCAGCAAGCCGCCTACAGCTATTCCTTATTCGGGGTGAAGAAGCTCAGCCTCGCCAAGGAGCTGAGGGACCGGATCCCGGATGCCATGCGCCAGCACTACTTGGGCCTGTTCACCGAGGAGTGCCTCAAGTTCGCCTCCTCGCGCCCGGAGGCCGTCGAGAAGGCTCAGGCGGAGGAGAAGGAGGTCTACGACCAAAGCCCCGGCAAGAGCAAGTACCTGGACTTCGCCCTGCACACCCTGAAGAAACTCAGGGGCCTGGTCCCCAGCGCCGTGCCGGGGCTCGACAAGGCCACCCTGTACGGCCGCCTGCGGAGCTATCTGCTCACCGAGGAGCAGCGGAGGGAGCACGGCTTCCCCTTCGCACACCCCGAGAAGCCCGGCTCGGCGATGCTCTACACGCGAGGAGGAGAGCAGCCCTGGAGCCCGCCGCCGCCGCCGACACACAGGACCTGCTGCCGCTGTGGCGCCGAGTATCCCGTGTCGTCCTCGGGCTGCTGCCTCTGCCCCGACCCGTGCGTGTTCCACTGGGGGCGCATCCGCACCAGCCGGGTGCCCGGAAGAGGCTCGCAGGTGCGCTACTCGTGCTGCTACGCGCCCACGGGGACCAGAGGCTGCACGGTGGCCAAGCAGCACGTGCAGGACGGGCGCAAGGACAACTTGCAGGGCTTTGCCAAGACCTTCCCGAAGAAGGACTGGGAGGCGCACGCCGGGATCTACGCCCTGGACTGTGAGATGTCCTACACCACGCACGGCCTGGAGCTCACCCGCGTCACGGTGGTGGACACGGACTTACGCGTGATTTACAACACCTTCGTCAAGCCGGACAATGAGATCGTGGATTACAACACGCGATTTTCCGGAGTCACTGAGGAGGACCTGGCCAACACCAACGTAAGACTGCGGGACGTCCAGGCCGTGCTCTTGAGCCTGTTCAGCGCCGAGACGATCCTCATCGGCCACAGCCTGGAGAGCGACCTGTTAGCTTTAAAGTTCATCCACAGCACGGTGGTGGACACGTCCGTGCTCTTCCCGCACCACCGGGGCCTTCCCTACAAGCGCTCCTTGCGAGGCCTCATCTCCCAGTACCTTAACCAGACGATCCAGAACAACACGGGTGGCCACAGCTCCATCGAAGATGCCAGGGCCTGCATGCAGCTGGTGAGCTGGAAGATGCAAGAAGACCTCAAGACCTCCAGCCCCCCTCCCCAGCACCAGACCGCTTCCCCAAAAAGCAGCCTGCAGCAGACGCGGGTTTACACCAGCCGGCACACCCAGATGCCCAGGACCATGAAGATGCATGCGACCACAGACCAGCGGCCCTGGGAGGAACGAGGCCCAGACCCACGTCATAGGCTCCAGCCAGAGACTTGAAGGACTTCTTGTGAGTTGATAGTGGGTTGTGGGGGCGAGGGACTGCCACCCTAAGAGTTGTGAAAACTTTTTAGCCCAAGCCTGAAGCCTTGCGGAATTACATGCTGCTGCCTTGTGGGACACGGGTGGGTACTGTTGGCTGTGTTGTGGGTGTGAAAACAGAATGAGTTTAGTTTAAGTCGCAATACACCATGCAAAAGGGCAGAGGAGGAAGTGTTGCTACTGAGGAAAACAGCCCGCCTGACTTAGGGATGAGGCTGTCTTGATTCGACAAGAGATTAACTTTGCTTTGAGAATGTCGATGAAATTTATTGGAAATAACTAGTTCCAAGCAACACTAGTCATCTCTTAATTTTCAGGTGTTTTTGTTCTTGGAGTGGAAATAGTGTGAGATTTCTCAGGGGGAGTAACCTTTTTTTCTTCTAGTACATAAAAACATTATAAAATGCAAGTGGTTTTGGAATGATTTTAATAATTTGTTTGAAAATTGATTAAATTATTTCTCCTAGAAAATAGCATGAACCCAAATACCTTTTATTTCTTCTTATGATATGTTTTAAACCAGATAATCAAATGAATCTTTTGTCCTAACTAGCCACCCTTGAGCTGTGTGTTAAAGGACATTCTCTGTTACTGTATGAAGGTTTATGCAAGACAGTGTGTTTTGGAATACTCAGGAGAGAAAATAACTTTTTATTATCCATTTTTTAGATGACAGTTTATAACAATTTGTAAGTTCTTTCTACCTAAGCTAGGACTCAGAGCTCATTAGCATTAAGAACTTTGCTTTTCAGATTTGTGTTAAAATGTTCAATAGGGCATTTAATACTATTTTCTTTCTCTCTTCACCTGTGGCTTATTGTGTGGCCGAGGGTTGCTACCTTTAGAGGGAATCACCATGCTTTTTGTCAAAAATAAATCCTAAATTACCTGAGCAAAACTAAACGTTATTCTTTTGGCTAATAACTCTTGCCTATGTGTTTTCCAGTTTGTAATCTTGTATCTGATTCCCAAATAAACTTTTTTTGAAATAGAGATTTGTGGTCATGTGTTTGATTAAATTTTATTATGACAGACCCAGGCTAGGGGCACTGGACTACCAGGACAGAAGATTCTAGCTCAGAATCTAGATTCCTGGACTTTAGAGGGGTCAGGCTTGAGTCTCCTGGCTTCTACAATTTGCTTTCTCAATCCCACTTGGACCTCTGTGACTTGGGATAGCAAAAGCACCCCTTTACCAGGTATCCCAGAGCTTTCATATGTAGCAAGTCTTTCTCTGTTCTGCCAGTTGATAGTGGGTTGTGGGGGTGAGGGACTGCCACACTAAGAGTTGTTAAAACTTTTTAGCCCAAGCCTGAAGCCTTGCGGAATTACATGCTGCTACCTTGTGGGACAAGGGTGGGTACTGTTAGCTGTGTTGTGGGTGTGCTCCCAGATCACGACACAGAGACTTACTAAATAAAAGTCTTACTTATGAAAGCTTGACTAATAGTTTATGTGGTGATATTTTGTTTATGATATAGTAAAGTTTGCCTGAAGTTCAGGGCACAAAGCTACTCACAGCCATAGAGGCCAGGCAGGGGTGGTGCACACCTTTAATCCCAGGACTCAGGAGACAGAGGCAGATGTATCTCTGAGTTCTGAGAGTGAATCAGTCTAAAAGAGAAACAGTTTGTGCCTTTAATCCCAGCTCTAGGGAGGTGGAGCCAGAAGTGATATGGCAGGGGGGAAGAGAGGAATCTAAGGTGGGAGGAGATAGGAACTCATTGCAGTCCAGGCAGTGAGGAGCAGTGCCGTCTGGAGATGCCGTCAGAGGACAGGATCACCTCTTTGGCTTGAGCATGGATAGAGGTGAGAGCTCTCTGGTAGCTTGGCTCCTTTGTTGTTTGATCTTCAAGTTTGAACCCCAATATCTGTCTCTGGATTTTTATTATTCATGCTACAAGCTTAGGCTTGTTTCTAACTAGCTCTTACAATTTAAATTAACCCACATCTTTCAATCTACATTCTTTTAAGCGTCTCAGTTACCTTTACTTGGAAACGTCCTTGCTGTTTGCTCTGCACCCAGGCATCTCTGCCCTTCTTCCCATAGTCTTTCTGTCCCTGGAAGTCGCTATACCTACTGCCTTTGTATTGACCACCCAGATCTTTATTACACCCGTCACAGCATCGCATGTTCACACAGTGTACAAATATTCCACCACATTCACGTCTGGGTGCCCCTTGTCACCTGATGGACTTAGTCTGGGTAGACTTCTACCCCGACTGTTGGTGCTGCATCCTCAGCTCTTGTGTTTATCTATCTATCTATCTATCTATCTATCTATCTATCTATCTATCTATCTATCTGGGAATCCTCAGCTCGTGTAATTATCTGTCTGTCTGTCTATCTACTTACTTATTTATGCTCTTCCATACATGGGCTTACATAACCAGGTTGGCTATCAACTCTCTGTGTAGTCAAGGATGACTTTGAACTCCCAAGTACTGGGATTTCAAGCTCATGCCATCCACCCAACCAGAGTTTTTGTGGGAAAAAAATGTTTGGGAAAGATAAATTAGGCAGGAGGATTAGGGTTTCAGAGCCATTCTTGGCTACATTTGGAGTCTGAACCCAGTCTGGGTCAAAAAATAATAAGGCCAGGCTATTATATTCATCACAGCATATCTGTATTGTTAAACCATATTTTTACCACGTGTATTCTTACCAAAAGGGCAAAACTTATGTTAATAGATTGGGTAAGCAGAGGCCACCTACCACACGAGTTTAAAACAAACAGTTCATAGGGCATTTATGTCAAGACAATTTACTTGTGGCATCATTCTTATTTCTTTGCTTAATAGTGGACCATTCTTAAATCTCTGGACTTCCTGTCTGTTTAATCACAACAAACGAGAAAAGAAGTAGCTTAACAAGACTTGGACTGAAGAGAGTCGGGAGGGAGGCCGGAGAGAGCTGTGCAGTTATGGAATATGGAAACCCAGCTCTAGTTCCAGGGGATCCAGGTGCTGTTCCCAGCGCCAACATGGAACCCCAGCTCTAGTTCCAGGGGATCCAGCGCCCTCTTCGGGCTTCTTTGGGCACCACCCACTAATGGCATGCATAACACATGCCAAGGAATACTCACACATGTAAAATTAAAATGAATTCATTCTGATTAGCTGGGGAGATTCAGACGCCTGTGAGCCCAGGCAGAGTAGTATGCTCTAAGGATGGTTTCAGCAAACTAAAATGAATGAGTCCCCAAGTTTATCTTGGAAAACAGAGTGACTGTAAGCATGTGACAAGGAAAACTTGAGTGTCTGTAAAACTGTTCTCAAAAGCTGCCCCAGGGCATTTCACTTCTGACACCTGTACACTCCAGTTTTAGTGAAAAGTATATGTACTCAGTTGAAAACAATATTGTCTTTTTTAAATAGAACAAATTAAACTAAATTGGCACATTTCCCAAGAAACTGAACTCAGTAACACGAGTTTTCTCCGATGTATGGTTTGCCTGCTAATGGCTTAGTGTCTTGAATGTGCAGATTGGATAGGCTTTAAAGAATTTTACTTTTACTGTTTCCAATGATGTGTATGTGTGGGTCTATACATGTGAGTTCGGGCGCCTGCAGGTGCCAGAGGGATCAGATCCACAGAACTGAAGTTGTAGGCAGTTGTGAGCCACTTGGTGTTGGTGCTGGGAACTGAGCTCGGTCCTCTGCAAGAGCAGTCAGTAGGCGTGTCTATCCACTAAACCATCTCTTCAGCATCTGCCAGAGGGGTTGTCACATCAGTCACGCTGCTTGGCAGCTGAGGAGACTCCAGGCTGGCTCTTGGCACTAGGAACATGTTATGGGATAAGTGATCTTTTGTGTTTGGAGTAGAATGGCATGGTGATCCCCCCCACCTGTCATAATCCTGTAAATGAATTGTCCTTGAATATGGTTTTGAGGGATGTGAAGTGTCATTATGCTGTTAAATGAACTTACAAAGCGCTGGTCATTTTCCTCATTGCTTGTTAAGTCTTAAATGGGATGAGTAATGTTGTCAACTTGGTGCATGAAAACAAACCTCCAGGCACGTCGGTGAGGGCGTGTCTAGACTAGGTTGATTGAGATAGAAAGACCCATCCTAATTGTGGATGGTTCCTTGCATACATGGGAGAGATCAGAAATCAGGCTGAGTACCAGCTTTCCCGACCGCACCTACCTGGGCATGCCTCCTTTGCTATGGTGGACCATCTGTGGGCCCAAGGAAACCTTTTCTTCCTAGGAGTCTTTGTCAGAAATTTGCCACAGCAACAAGAAAAGCAACCAATAGACCATGCCCAGAACACACCTCCTGTGTAAGTAACTAATAGATAATGTCCAGAGCATACCTTCTGGCTGAATAACTAATAGACCATGCCTAGAGCACACCTTCTGGGTAAGTAACTAATACACTGTGTTAGCCAGGGTTCTCTAGAGCTAGAGTCACAGAGCTTATGGAATGACTCTCTCTCTCTCTCTCTGTCTCTGTCTCTCTCTCTCTCTCTGTGTCTCTCTCTCTCTCCCTCTCTCCCCCTCTCTCCCCCTCTCTCTCTCATCCCTCCCCCTCTTAAGTAATGCATCATACCCAGATTAACCTTGCTATCTATCTGTTCTGATACCCTCAGTGGGCTGTCACCTTATCTGCAGTAGATCACTGTAACAAATTATTTGTTTCCTTTGCTCATGCTTTGCTCATTTCCTAATGCGTGTTTTGAGACAGCCTCATTGTGTATTCCAAGCTAGACTAGAACTCACATTCTTTAATTTATCTCCTAAGTTCTGCAGTTAGAACCACATACCACTGTGTCTGATTCTACACTCTATCTTATGTGCCTTTTTGTTACTTTCTTTTAAAATTAATCAATTAAAAAGTATGGTAGTACATACCTGTAAGTCTAGCACTTAGGAATCAGAGACAGGAGGACTCTGAGTTGGAGGCCAGACTGGGCTATACAGTAAGACTCTGGGTTTTTCGTTTGTCTATTTGTTTATTTGTTTTGTTTTGGTTTTGGATTTTCAAGACAGGGTTTCTCTGTTTTGTTTTGGAGGCTGTCCTGGAACTAGCTCTGTAGACCAGGCTGGCCTGGAACTCACAGAGATCTGCCTGCCTCTGCCTCCCAAGTGCTGGGATTAAAGGTGTGTGCCACCAAAGCCTGGCCTGTTTATTTGTTTTTAGTTCTAAAAGAATAACAGAGCTCACACCCTTAATCCAGCACTAGAGAGGAACATAAAACAGGAGCAAGGCGCCTTTCAATCCTTTGAAATCATAGGCCAAAATAGAGTCCTTCTTCTGGGAGCCACTTTATTACTTAGTGCTCACACAGACCCTGTGCTTAAAGTCAGTCTTCTCTTAAGTGCACTGGGCCTGTTTCAGAAGACATGGGATCTGACTCCAGCTTCACAGTGTGTAAGTCTCTCAGTAATGCACAGGTTGTTTGTACACCTGAATTCAGTTTTCTCTTGAGAAAATAAGAGGGACATAGCTTTGTGAGGGTCTGCTTTCATGAGGCATTAATCAGAGATTTATTGGCTTTTGAACACTGTTAACCTAGCACCATAAAGACAACTTAGTCTTCCACGGGGAGGACTTGTCCCTCTGTGGGACAATCAGTTCCCTCATCACTTTATGCCCAGCAGAAGCACAGCAAATACAGGGTCTGCAAACTTTATTTATAGGGCAGCTAGTCATTGAGGCTCCACAGATCATACACTCCCTGTTACAGCTAACTACCCCTGTAGTGCCTATGTAGTGTGAAAGTGGCCACACAAAATACTTGAATGTAGAGAACAGACATGTTTCACTGAAATTTCTGGAAAACTGGAATTGCACGTATAGTTTACGCTCTTACTTTGATTTTTTTTTCTCCTAGCATTTTAAGGTGTGAAAATTGTCCTTCTCAGCCAGGCATTGGTGGCTCATGCCTTTAATCCCAGCACTCAAGAGGCAGAGGCAGGTGGATCTCTGTGAGTTTGAGGCCAGCCTGGTCTACAGAGCGAGTTCCAGTACAGCCTCCAAACAATACAGAGAAACCCTGTCCTGAAAAATCAAAAAAAAAAAAAAAAAAAAAAAAGGAAGAAAAGAAAAGAAAAAAGAAAATTACCCTTCTCATTATTTTTTAATTCTTTTGTTTCTTGGTAGTCCAGGCTGGTCTGGAACTCACTGTGTCATCCAGGTTGGCCTGCAACTTGTGGCAGCCTTTTAAAAAGTTCCTCCCAAGTGTATGAGCCACCACACCCAGCTCAGAATATGGAAGCTGTTCTTACTGCACAGGATTTCCAGAAACAGACGAGGCATTACATTTAACTTGATGTGGATACCAATTAAATTATACAATTGGGAGGGATTTTTAAATTTATTATGATAATTGTGTAAGATATTTTCAAGTAATTTTACTTGAACAGACAATATTTATTTGATAAATTACTGTCATGATGTGACACGAGGTAAAACACATTGGGTTCTTATCAACAATGTGGAATCTTAGTTCATTTCTGGATGCATTTAAAAGTGGACTGGAAAAATGGAAAAAGAATGTATGTATCAAGGGAAAGTTGATGAGGTGATCATATAATGAAGCCTGCTTGGTGTCATGGAAACTTACGAGACCACAGACTTGGTCCATTGCAAATTCATGTTATCTCTTGTTGTTTGGGCTTCCAATGCTGCTTGTCAGTGCTTTATTTATCCGTTGTTTGTTAAATTCCTTTCCAGTTCCTCAGAGCAGCTGTTGTAGATTTTCTTTGCTTGCCACTTCCAACATTATCATGCCTCCACCCTGAGCACAAGCCAGTTTTCAGTCCATCCTGGGAGCTCCTACGGGGTTCTCCTCTTGTCCTTGGGTGTCTTAGCTGCCTTCCTGCCGCACACCTCACTGTTTACTTCACTCCTATCACAGGGAAAAATGGGTATCTTGATTTCTATGACTAAATCATCTCTGTGTTTTCACAAGTGCTGTTTCTTTTTAACATTTTCCATAAAACTGTTCAGTGTTCTTCAGCCCTGTGCCATCCCTTCAAGCCTGTCAGTCACTGTCTTTTTGAGACAGTCTCATGTAACCTAGGCTGGTTTCAAACTCACTACGTAGCTGTGGAGTGTTCCCATCCTGCAGCAGGTATCAAATGAGAACACCGAGGCTTACATTAATTGCAAATGCACAGCAGGTAGCTCAGGCTTGTTACTAGCTAGTGCTTACGTTTAAATTAACCCATGTTTCTTATCTATGCTTTGCCACGTGGCTGGGAACCTTTTCTCAGCGTGGCATGTGCATCTTGCTTCCCTGAATCTCCTTGTGACTCTTCTCACTCTGCCCTTCTTCATCCCAGCATCCGTGGTTTGGTCGCCCGACCTATTAGACGTCATGCCCGCTACTGGCCAATCAGCATTTTACTAAACCAGTTTGAGTGACAAACCTTGACAGTGCACAAGAGGATTATTCCACAGCAGAGATGTCCTTAAGTTCCTGATCTCCCTGCTTCCTCGTTGGGTTCACAGGTATAGGCTTCCATGCCCAGCTTCTCTCTCCTCTGCTGACTTGCTCATGCCTTCTAGTCCCTAGAATAAGACCCCACCCAGACTTTCAGCACGGATGCCTCAGGCCAGTGAGCTTTTGCCCTCATTGGTGGGTACTGGCCTGTATCACCCTTTTACTTATACCTTAAAGCAACCAGAATCTACAGCCAAATGAATACATTTCTAGGCCTCCTTGTTTAATAGACCAGCCAAAGGCACATAAAACATTTTCAACAAAATCAAAGAAGAAAATCCCCCTAACCTAAAGAAGGAGAAGCCCATCAAGGTACAAGAAGTATTTGGAATACCAAATAAATAAATTAGACCAGAAAATAAATTCCCCTCAGGACATAATAGTCAAACTTTAAACTTACAGAAGAAAGAATATTTAAAAAAATTCAAGGGAAAGAGACAAAATAACACATATAAAGGCAGACCTAGCTATCCCTGCCCTCATCCACACCTTCTCCATTTCTACTCAGAAAAGTACTGGCCTCCCTTGCATATTAGCTAGTCATGGCGTGTCAAGCTGCTCTAAGGCTAGGCACCTCCTCTCCTATCAAGGCTGGATGAGGCAACCCAGTAGGAAGGAAGGGTGCCAAGAGAAGGTAACAGAGTCAGAGACATCCCCTGTTCCCACTGTTAGGAGTCCCACAAGAAGGCCAAGCTACACAACTAAAACATGTGCCGGGGGCCTAGGTCAGTCCCACGCAAACTCTCTGTCAGTTTGGTCTCTCTGAGCTTCTATTAGCCCAAGTTAGTTGATTTTGTGGGTTTTCTTGTGGTGTCCTTGACCCCTCTGGCTCCTACAATATTTCTCCCCCTCTTCCACAGGATTCTCTGAGCTCCTTCCTAGTGTTTGTCTGTGGGCCTGTGCATCTGTTTCCATCAGTTTCTGGGCAAAGCCTCTCTGATGATAGTTAGGCTCAATGCCCATCTATGAGTATAGCAAAATATCATTAGGAGTCATTTCACTGACTTTTTTTTATTGGCAGTCATGTTTGGTTCTATCCTAGGTCTCTGGGCTGTCCACCGTTGGGGTCCTAGCCCTCCAGGCAGTGCCAGGTGTGGATCCCCTCTTCAGGCTCGGGACTCAAGATGTATTTATCATTGTTAGCTACTCCCACTAATTTCTGTGCCATCTGTACACCGGCATATTCTACAGGCCACAGCACAGTATAGAATAAGGGACTGGGGGAGACAGACAGATCTTCCCAGGACAGGGAAGTAGGATAAGTATGGATAGATAGATGGATAGATAGATAGATAGATAGATAGATAGATAGATAGATAGATAGGAGGTGGGATAGAACAGGATGATTAAGTGGAGAGAGGGGGATTATGTAGCCTTCACCCATGTGCTAACATCTTTGTTACACTGCATGGTACCAAAAGGAATGTAAAGACCAACTCAGCCACAAACCTTTTGATCTACAATAGTGTCATGTCTGCAGGTTATGTTAATGCAATAGCAGCCAAAAGTTTGTAGGAGTAACCAACCAACCAATATCTGAGAACCTGAGACTAGATAGACCAGGGACTGAGGGTAAAACCAAATACTATTGTTAAAAACAACCACAACAGCAGCCAAAACAAAACACAACAAAACAATGATTCTAATGACATTCTGATATACTCATAAATCCTCCCGCAGCAGATGGGAACAAACACAGAAACCCACTGCAGACGTTATGCAGAGAGTGAGAGACCTTCGAACATTCAACCCTAAACAGGATGTCCCCATCAGATCCCTCCTGTCAGGGCTTGGGGAACTCTAAAGAAGAGGAGGCAGGAAGACTATAAGAGCCAGAGGGTGTGCTTCCATCCCAAGAAAATAAATCCCTCCAAATCAACATGATAGATGCACATATGAACTCACAGAGACTAAGGCAACATCCATAGGGCCTGCATCACTCTGTAAAGGATGTGCTCCCAGAGTTGAAAGGAGTAGAAAGATGCCCCCATTTCCAACACAGGAGCAATCTTCAACTGATAACCGCATGCAAATAAAAATTTAGCTTCCTGTGGTGATATATTATTTATGATTTGTTACAGTTTGCCTGAGGATTCAGAGAGCAAAGCTAGCCTCAAACTATGGAGATCAGGCAGTGGTGATACACACCTTTAGTCCCAGGACTCAGGATTAAGAGGCAGACAGATTTCTGAGTCCTAGACTACCCTGGGCTACTAGAGAGTGAATCAGAGCTCATGCCTTTATTCCCAGGATTTGAGAGGTATAAATGGTAGAGGTGTTCAGTCTGAGATTAGTCTCTAGCCATGATGAACAGAGCACAGTAGTCCGAGTGAATCTGAGGGGCAGTTAAGCCAGGAACAGTCTGAGGATCACCTCTTTTGTCTGAGCTGAGTTAAGAGCTAGTGTCTGACTGCTTGGCTCTTCTGATCTTCAGCTTGAAGCCTGAACCCCAGTATCTGTCTCTGGGTCTTTTATTTATTGTATTACAGTTTCCTCCAAGGGGGTCTCTGCTTTTAATGGTAGGCTTCATGCCCAGCAGTTGATGTCCTACAGAAACTTCTTTGTCATTTAGAAACCATCCTTGCTTGTCTGGAACACTCCTCCACTACTGGGGAATGACTTGCAGGCTGCCACCCGATAGTGGTTAGCTGTGAATGGAAAGTCTGAGGATCTAGTAGCTACTCAGTCCCACAAGGTGGGGTGTCCCAGATGGTGTTTTATATATGCTGGAGTCCCAAAGAAGCAGGCTCCAATGCCAGTGCTGATAAGGTATGGGCAAGCAGGCTAAGAATGAGCAATCTCTTCTTCTTCTATTGCCTTTGTATCTTGTATAGGCTCCCAGCAGACGGTGTGGCCCAGATTATAAAGATGTGTCTCCCCCCTCAAGATCTGGATTAAAAGTGTGTGTCCTTTAGTCTCAAGATCTGGACCAAAGGCTTGTCTTCCTGCCTCAAGAAGTGTGCCCTCCATTTCTGGATTGTAGTTCATTCCAGATATAGTCAAACTGATAACCAACAATAGCCATCATACTGTGGAACCAATCAGTGTCTAAGAACAGAAATATTGTTGAGTAAATGTGCTTCGTGTACACGGTGGAACTTTTTTCAGCCATAAGAAAAGAATAAAGTTGTGTGCTTTGTTGGAAATGAATGCAAATAGAGATAATTACATTAAGCAAATTGATCCAGCCTCAGAAAGACAAATATCATATTGTTCTCTCATTTGTGGTTCCTAGATTTTATATAGTCACGTAAAATGGTGAATGTACACACTAAGTGGAAGTAGAAGTAACATTGTCTACAGGAGCCAAAGGGGAATTAAGGGGAGGGACAGGGGCACAGAACGGTGGGGGTGGAGAGGGGTAGGGTGGGTGGTGAGGGGAAAAATGTGCTCGCCATACAATAATACACACCTGCAAGAAAAATAACAAAAGTAAAATAAATCCTACCCTAGAAAACAAAACAACAACAAAACTTGAACAACCATCTTTCCATTCGGATTACTCCTGTCTGATTCTGCCGTGTAGCCCTGGCAGTCCTGGAACTTGCTGTGTAGACCAGGCTGGCTTCGAACTCAGAGCGTCACCTGCCTCTGCCTCCCTGGCGCTGGGACTGAAGTTCTGACTGCGCTAACTACTGGTCTTTATAAAGGAAGCACCACCTCTTTGGCGTGGACTCTCGAAGTGATTCTTGACTAGCTCCTTTTTCTTGCCTTTGACAGGTGATGCTCGTTCTGGCGCATTCACGGTCAGATGGGTTCCTCTGTCATCTTCTCATGGGTGCTCAGGTTTTAACCGTACACTTCAGAGATTCGTAGTGTCCTCTTTTCCCACCTCCCCCGCCCCTCCCTCCCTCCTTCCTCTTTCCCTCCCTCCCTCCTTCCTCTTTCCATCTTTCAGCAGGTTGTCGGTTCATATAGCTCAGCCTGACCGCACACTCCTCTATGTGGCTTAGGCTGGCCTCACACCCATGATCCTCCTGCCTCAGCATCCCAGTCACTGGCATTGCTTATGCCTCAGGCTCGGCAGGCTCGGCTGCTTTTGCTTCTCACTCAGCCACCCTGCTGGTTCTTTCCAACAGCTCTTTGTCTTTGAGTTCGTCCAATCACGTCCCTCCTGCAGCAGCACCTCAGTGCTCAGTTGTAACAGCCATCAGTTGTGGAGGGCTCAGCAGGGTCAGGTTCCAGCCTGAGTAGCCTGCACAACAGTCTCCAGTAGAACGTGTTTCTCATTCCCTACGTAAATACCATGGCGTCACCGCAGTCACGGGTGTCACTCGTGCCCTGCTTATCAGGACTACATTGCTTTCATTTCTCATGCGTCTACATATCACTTACAATGCTGATGTTTAAGTCCTGCCTCCTCTGCTGAGCTGAAATGTGTTCATGGATTAGAGCTGTACTGAAGTGTCCGGGGTGAGGGGTTGGAAGATGGCCCAGCCCTTACGAAGTGTTCCCTGCTCTTGCAGAGTATCTGGCTTCAGTTCCCAGCACCCATGTCAGTCCGGCAGCTCTCAACCACTTGTAACTAACTCTGCCTTGAGGGGACTCCAACACCCTCTGAGAATACCTGTACTCAAGCACACGGACCTGTGCACTTATTTAGAATTTAAAGGGAAACGAGCCTTCACCTGGGCATGGTGGGTATACAATGTTAATCTCCGTACTTGAAAGCAGAGGTGGGTGGATTTCTTTGAGTTCAGTACCAGGGTGGTTTAAATAGTGAGTTCCAAACCAGCCTTATTGAGATGCTGTCTTAAAAAAATATCCAGGAGAATAATTCAAATAAGTTTGATATATTTTCCAATTATGATTTTAAAAATTCCACAAAAATTCAACTCCAGAAAAGGAAGCATTAGCTTTCTCTAAAGCAGCAGATGATCTCAAATTATATCATATTTTCTGGGATTTAATTACTGCTGGAAACTGAAAGGCTGTGACCACAAGAATGGGGCCATTCCCACGAGTTCTGACTTGGAGTAAACAGGAAATACAGTACCAGAGCTCTGGCAGGAGACGTCCAGAGCAGGAGAGCTTGCCTTCATGAAACATCAGGTTCTGGGGTTTGGAGCGTTTTCCTCCTGCTTGCTAAGTCTTTGCCATCATTTCCTGTTACCTAGCTACTGGGAGACTCTGCGACAGTAGCTCCTACACCACAGGAAGTGTTGATGAAAACCACATGTCACAAAACTAGAAGCTGCTGCAGCAGCATGTCCTGGATGGACAAACGGGGCTCTCCGTCCATGTGGCCAGGCAACGAAGCTGCAGGGTGACAATGAAGAGAACTGGAGAAAAAATCTTCTTAGGATCGGTTACGTTCTCTGCCTTGGCTACTCTGAATCCTCATTGCTTTGCTCATGGGAAGGTGGTGCAACTTGAAGACACAGTCAGCAAGGCAAATCAGTTTCTCCCTGGGAGGCTTGATTCAGCCAGATCAGGCCCCGCAACACCAGAGATGCCATCTCTGCCTCCCGTAGGAGCTTTTCTTGGGACCCAGCTTCTGTGCGTATGTTCACTCTCCGGCTTGGCTCTCCTCATGAGCACTTAGAACTTAGGGTTAGTAAAACGTAATATAAAAGAAAAGAAGAAGTACAATTAAAGGCCTCCGAGAGTCGCTGGCGACAGTTAAAATGGAGGTGGAAAGAGAAGGTGGCGTAGGAAGGAACAGTGTTAGCTGCAGTTCTAGGACGCAGGTTGACATATAATATAGGTACTTGGTGAACTCGGGGGATGGCTAAGGCTATACCTTCCAGGAGGATATTTCAGGCCAACATTAGGCGCATATAAATCCACACACCTCCCAAAGCTGTTTAAGGCACTTTAGTCAATAGAATGTACTCTCCCACTAGTGCAAGAATAACACTTATTTTTGGCACACACACTCCAAAGAGAACTGAAATCTTTTAAAACACCCAATGCTACAAAATAAAATAAAAAGCTTTTGTAAGCCTTCCAACTCTGCATGTCAGCACTGTGCCCATCCAGGGGAGCCTATGATGTGCCTATCTTGTGGGTGTTTTCTTTTTGGCACACCTTTCATTGAGATTGGTGTACTATTTTTTTTAAAGCTAGTTCAAAGGACAGTGACATTTCATCGTGTTTTAGATTAATTGTAATTGAACTCAGCCAAAAGTAATGCTTTTGCAAGCAAGGTGTGGGTAGAATTCCCTTTCAGTGCTTAAAAGTGCAACAGTGGAATGAACTTTAGCCACAACGTCTGCCTGTGTGCCAAACTGTTCCCCACCATGACGATAATGGACTGTCTCTGAACTGTAATCCAGCCCCAACTTAATGTTTTCTTTATAAGGGTTGCAGTGGTCATGGTGTCTCTTCCCAGCAATAGAAACTTAGCTAAGACCCATTAAAGTCTTGGTAGTTATTTGTTTACATGGTATACATATTGCACATTTTATGTTACGAGACTATACAGTTCTTATGACAGGAGTTATAATTTGTGACATGACATATTTCTTTTAGTGGTGAGTAAAAGGCTACTTACCCTTTCGTGACATCATCCCACTCTTTGCCCTGCAGACAAGAAATTCTTCCTGATATTTCAAAGCATCCATTGAGAGCATTGTGATAGACCTGTCATCTGCAGTGTTCAAAGAACAGGAGACTCTTTCTTCTGCCCAAACCACATGGTTTGATTGGAATTGTGAGCTATGAATAGAAATTAATTCCAACTTGTGATTTCCTGCTTATCTATAAGGAAAAGACTAAAACCTAGCATTTTACCTGATGGCATTTTACCTGAAGGCATACACCTAGAGCAGCACCGACATTTCTTATTCACAGCTGCTGGTAGGTTTTGCCTCAGCTGTGTTGCAAAGTTCATTTAAGTAATTGATGTATGGCTTCTGTTTATCACTTCAAAGTGAACGATAATTGCTGACATGTGTGAAGGCTCTTCTATTATAAAATATGGTTTATCTTTTCTGCCATTGAAAATGATTGTACTTCAATTGCACCATTCCTGGGTCAAAGAAGAAATAAAAAAAGAAATTAAAGACATCCTAGAATTCAATGAGAACAAAGGCACAACACACCCAAACCACAACGAGGGAAGTTCATAGCACTAAGTGCCCACATGAAGAAACTGGAGAATAGTTACACTAGAGAATTAACAGCACAGCTGAAAGCTCTAGAACACAAAGAAGCAAACTCCCCCAGGAGGAATAGACGCCAGGAAGTAATCAAACTGAGGGCTGAAATCAATAAAGTAGAAACTAGGAAAACAATACAAAGAATCAATGCAATGAAGAGTTGGCTCTTGGAGAAAATCAACAAGATAGACAAACCTTTGTCCAAACTTACCAAACAGCAGAGTGTAAACATGCAAATTAACAAAATCAGAAATGAAAAGGGGGACATAACAACGGACTCTGAGGATATTCAGAGAATCATCAGGTAATACTTTGAAAGCCTGTACTCCACAAAATTCGAAAATTTAAAGGAAATGGACAATTTTCTGGATAGCTACCACTTGCCAAAATTAAATCAAGAACAGATAAGCAGACCTATAACACCTATGGAAATAGAAGCAGTCATTAAAAGTCTCCCAACCAAAAAAAAAAAAAAAGCCCAGGTCCAGATGGCCTCAGTGCAGAATTCTACCAGAAATTCAAAGAGCAGCTTATACTAATTCTTCTCAAAGTATTCCACACACTAGAAGCAGAAGGGTCTTTGCCAAACTCTTTCTATGAGGCTTCAATAACCTTGATCCCCAAGCCACACAAAGACACAACTAAGAAAGAGAACTTCAGACCAATATCCCTCATGAACATTGATGCAAAAATACTCAATAAAGTACTGACAAATCGGATCCAATAATACATCAAAACAATCATTCACCATGATCAAGTAGGTTTCATCGCAGGGATGCAGGGATGGTTCAACATATGAAAATCCATCAATGTAATCCACCATATAAACAAGCTGAAAAACAAAAATCACATGATCATCTCACTAGATGCTGAAAAAGCCTTTGACAAAATCCAACACCTCTTCATGATAAAGGTCTTGGAGAGGTCTGGGATAACAGGAACATACCTAAACATAATAAAAACTATATACAGCAAACCAACAGCCAACATCAAACTAAATGGATAGAAACTCAACACAATTCCACTAAAATCAGGAACAAGACAAGGCTGTCCACTCTCTCCATACCTTTTCAATATTTTACTGGAAGTTCTAACTAGAGCCATATGACAACAAAAGGAGATCAAGGGGATACAAATTGGAAAGGAAGAGATCAAACTTTCAGTATTTGCAGATGATATGATAGTTTACATAAATGACCCAAAGAACTCTACCAGGGAACTCTTACAGCTGATTTACACCTTCAGCAAAGTGGCAGACTACAAGGTCAACTCAAGAAAATCAGTAGCCCTACTATATACAGATGATAAAAGGGCTGAGAAAGAAATCAGAGAAACTTCACCCTTTACAATTGCCACAAACAACAGCCGGGCGGTGGTGGCGCACGCCTTTAATCCCAGCACTCGGGAGGCAGAGGCAGGCGGATCTCTGTGAGTTTGAGGCTGGGCTGGACCGACAGCCTCGAAAACAATACAGAGAAAAAACCCTGTCTTGTAAAAACCAAAAAAATAAAAAATAAAACAATTGCTACAAACAACATAAAATACCTTGGGGTAACACTAACCAAATAATCTAGCCAAAAGCAATCTACAGATTCAATGCAATCCCCATTAAAATACCAGCACAATTCTTCACAGACCTTGAAAGAACAATAATCAACTTTGTATGGAAAAACAAAAGACCCAGGATAGCCAAAACAACTTATTCAACAAAGCAACATCGGGAGGCATCACCATCCCTGATTTCAAGTTCTATCATAGAGCTATAGTCCTGAAAACGACTTGGTATTTGCATAAAAATAGACAGACCAATGGAATCGAATTGAACACCCTGATATTAATCTATACTTATATGAACATCTTATCTTCGACAAAGAATCTAAAAATATACAATGGACAAAAGAAAGCATCTTCAACAAAAGGTGCTGGCATAACTGGATGCTGACATGTAGAAGACTGCAGATAGATCCATATCTATCACCATGCACAAAATGGTCAAAATGGATCAAAGACCTCAAGATAAATCCAGTCACACTTAAACTCTTAGAAGAGAAAGTGGGTGGTACCCTTGAACGAATTGGTACAGGAGACAGCTTCCTGAACATAACACCAGTAGCACAGACAGTGAGGTCAACAATTAATACATGAGACCTCCTGGAACTGAGAAGCTTCTGTAAGGCAAAGGACACAGTCAGCAAGACAAAAAGACAGCCCACAGAATGGGAAAAGATATTCACTAACCCCACATCTGACAGAGAGCTGATCTCCAAAATTTACAAAGAACTCCAGAAGCAAGTCTCCAAAACACCAAAGGATCCGATTAAAAAGTGGGCAACAGAACTAAATAGAGAATTCTCAATAGAGGAGTCTAAAATGGCTGAGAGGCACTTGAGATAGGGCTCAACATCCTTAGCCATCCAGGAAAAGCAAATCAAGACAACTCTGAGATACCATCTTACTCCTGTCAGAATGGCTAAAATCAAAAACACCAATGACAATTTATGCTGGAGAGGTTGTGGTGAAAGGGGAACACTCCTCCACTGCTGGTGGGAGTGCCAACTTGTACAGCCACTTTGGAAATCAGTATGAAGATTCCTCAGAAAAATGGGAATAAACCTACTACAAGACCCAGCCACTTCACTCTTAAGCATATACCCAAAAGATTCACACTCGTACAACAAGGACATCTGTTCTACTGTGTTCATAGCAGCATTATTTGTAATAGCCAGAACTTGGAAGTAACCTAGATGCCCCTCAACTGAAGAGTGGATAGAGACATTTACACAATGGAGTACTATTATTCAGCCGGAAAAAAAACCAATGGAATCCTGAAATTTGCAGGCACTAGAAGAAACCATCCTGAGTGAGGTAACCCAGTCACAAAAAGAGAAACATCTCATATATGGATTTTAGGCATAGATTTGGGGAGTGCCAGCCTACAATCCCATGGCCAGAGAGTCTGGGAAACAGAACCTTCATTCAGTGGCTGATGGAAGCAGAGGCAGACTCCCACAGCTAAGTACTGAGCTGAACTCAAGAAATCCTGTGATAGAGAGGGAGGCCTGATGAGCAAAGGGGTTAAGACTGGACTGATTTAACCCCCAGAAACAGCTCACCTGACAAGGGTTAGCTCTTGAATCCCCGACTAATGGCTGGGAATCCAGCATGGGACTGATCAAGACCCCCTGAGTGTGGGTGTCAGTGAGGAGGCCTAGGCAATCTATTGAACCTTGGGTAGTAGATCAGTATCCATCCCGGGTATACAAATGGACTTTGAGCCTAACGCACTGGAGATCTGGTAGCCCCTGTTTTCCTGTTGAGGAAAACCGTAGTGTACGGAGCTCATGGCCTGGGAAGAAGCTCAGGTGGCCTCTCGGGGGCACTGTCAGAAGCACCATACCTATTGTCTCAGTCCGCTCATCACGGAAAGTGGTCACTCATGTCCTTTGGGGACCTTTCCTTTTACCAGAAACCCTAGGGTGTGGTGGGCTGTTAAAGGGCAGGGAGACACAGGTTTTGCCGCTCCTGGCACTTCTTCCCAGAGCTGAGCACGACGAGAAACAGCTGGGGACAGTGTGTCCGCAGCTGTGTCTGTACTGCCAAGAGTGGAAGTGTAAATGACATTTGCCTTTGGTCACTGACAGGAACAATTGAACTTGCAGGGAAAATTGCTATTTCGAATCTTTTATTTGGCTCGGTTTGATAAGACACTTAGCACCTCCAGAGCCCTCTTTGAATTTCAGGGACACAATGAGAACAAAAGCTGGAGTTGCATGACGTCCATTCACTCATCTGTTCTATTCAACAAATATTAAAAATCCAAATGTCGCATGGTTTTGATTGTAGAAGGCGCAGTTGGAGTTAGGGCTGGGGACTTTTAGACAGAAACATCTATGCTGATGGTGGCAGACACGTCGAGAAGAGGGACAAAAAGTCCTGGCGGAGGACCGGATAGATAACGAAGACTCCAGGTAGGCCAGTGCCTGGGACACCGAGGGACCAAGCACCAGAAACCGTCTGAGCGGCAAACCAAAGGGGAAGGAGCTAGACAGAGTGAGCCGGAGAGGTGGCCACGCTGTGTCTTGTGTTGTCACTCATGTGGAAGACTTTGGCTCCTTACTAAAATTACTTAAAGTGTTTTTAATTATGCGCGTGTGTGCATATGTTGTGTGGGGTTTTCGGAGTGCCTGCAGAGGCCAGGATAAGGTCTCGGATCCCCTGGAGTTGGGATTACAGGTGGTGATGGAGAGCCAACGTGGGTGCTAGGAACCGAACTCCGGGCCTTGGGAAGAGCAGGAGATGTGCTTAACTGCTGACCCTGCTCCTCAGCCTCTTCCCCTGAAAGCTAAAGCCCTGGGTTGCAAGTGGCTCAGTGTCTGCCCGTGGAAAAATTTTTTAAATACGCAAGTGCAAGATAAACACAAGTCAAAAGATGTTGTTCACTAGCAGTGAAGTCTCTATGGTGTAAAAACTGTGTTACAACAGAATCCTAGGCAACAGAGCAGATGCATCCATGTGTCTAGGGTTACTGAAAGGGAGCTGTAATCATTTCGACACCTAACTGGCCAGTATCCACAGGGGACAACCGCTGTCTCTTGAGTAGAACAATTTATATTTCTGAGGATAAGAAGAGTTGGCGCTGTTGCCAGCTTTCCACAAAGCACGTTTCTTTCTTCTCTCTCTCCTCCAGTTTCAATATTAATTTTTTTGTGCCGGCATGTAAAGCACCAGTGCTGTCATGATGTCTGCACGTATAAATTAATCGGAGTGACAGGCTGAGCTAGCTTGAAGGGTATGCTAGGCAGTGCACCTTGTACTGTGTGGTGACGCCTAATTCTGAAAATAACTCTTACACTCTAAGAGGCTCAA